AATACGTTATTGGGTTAATCGTAATAAAAACAAATGTATATACATTACATTTGATAAAACATTACAAAAAACCACAAAATTAATATATAATGGAATAATCACCCTTATTTAATACGCTATTAGGTTAATCGTAATAAAAACAAATGTATATACATTACATTTGATAAAACATTACAAAAAACCACAAAATTAATATATAATGGAATAATCACCCTTATTTAATACGCTATTAGGTTAATCGTAATAAAAACAAATGTATATACATTACATTTGATAAAACATTACAAAAAACCACAAAATTAATATATAATGAAATAGTCACCCTAATTAACACGTTATTAGGTTAATCGTAATAAAAAAAATGTATATACATTACATTTGATAAAACATTACGAAAAACCACAAAATTAATATATAATGGAATAATTACCCTTATTTAATATGTTATTAGGTTAATCGTAATAAAAACAAATGTATATACATTACATTTGATAAAACATTACAAAAAACCACAAAATTAATATATAATGGAATAATTACCCTTATTTAATACGTTATTAGGTTAATCGTAATAAAAACAAATGTATATACATTACATTTGATAAAACATTACAAACCACAAAATTAATATATAATGGAATAATCACCCTTATTTAATACGCTATTAGGTTAATCGTAATAAAAACAAATGTATATACCTTACATTTGATAAAACATTACAAAAAACCACAAAATTAATATATAATGGAATAATCACCCTTACTTAATACGTTATTGGGTTAATCGTAATAAAAACAAATGTATATACATTACATTTGATCAAACGTTTTACTTTCATTTACCAAACATCCATCCAAGTTATATTAGAACTTTAAAAAATCAATATTTCTCAGTCATTTAATGAGGTTCTACAAAGATTAATTATTGAAGTTTTCTACCCATTAAAGATGAGATTGTATTATTTCCAAATAAAGAAAAATTTCTTTCGTCTAGTGTGTGACAAAATCGTCATAAACAACTTTTAACTTTCGCTTTTCATTAATGTCGTGATCCATAACGAGGAGAACCAGTTGTGCTGCTATTAGTTAAATATCAGTTTTTGTTTGTTTGTTTTCTACATGAGCTATTTAACTTCTTGATAAAATCCTTCCATATAATGAGTAATAATATGTAGAGAAAGAGATTAGATACGTAATGCTTCATACTTTCAAACTTTTTTTTTCATACATTGCTTACTACATAATGGCCAAGAACTATATTTGTCTCGGCTATTTGAAAAGTAATTAAACGCTATTTTTAATGGCATTTTTAGAAGCAAAACTAATGCATTATCAATAGAATCCTGATAAATATATTGAATTTTTGCAATCGTGTCTATGTGTGTGCACACTTTTTCACTTTTTTTCTGTCTGTTACTAGTTGTACTTCAAATGTTACACAGCTGTATTAATTTTATTATTATTATTATTTATCATTAAGACTTATTCCAAAAACCCATTATTTACATAAGATCAATATTTTTTTGAAATATTTGATACATCTGCAAGATTATTAAACAAATAACTATTGAAATAACTAATTTCAGAAACCAAGTTGATAACTTAAAGCATGAAAATCATAGGTCAAGAATATTATTGAACATAAGCTACTCGATATTGTTGAGAGTAATGATTCATTATTGAACATAAGCTGCTCGATATTGTTGAGAGTAATGCAACTCTGCAAAGGTAGCAGATTTCATGAGAAAACAAATTTAACTATTTAATAACAACTACGCTACTGAAAGAAGTACTAAACCAAGCAGTTCTTTAAAACGAACAAACTGGGAACTTTTACTATTTTTATCTAAATTTATATTCTTCATGCTGCGAAACAATATGTTTACAATTAATTTCATTAACAAGAACAGTAAGAAAAGTTGGTCAATTTTTATCATTTTTATGGGGGGGGGGGATAAAAAGGGCTGTTATTGACATTATCGAAGATGATGTAATGATAGCTCATATACCTTTTTTTCCTGCTTATACTAACTAGAAAAGAAATCACTCCTACTTCAAGGTTCGAGGAAACTTTATAGTCACTTGTACATTTAGAAAACTTTCCGTAAATACTGATGTTTAATTGTAAATCGCCC